GTATCGGCTATACAAATGTATCTTGATATTGTATTAAAGATACATTCTTCTATCTATAATTTTATGTCGAAATACTCATAACGCAATTTTTATTCGTTCTTTTAAAAGGTATAAGCTATAAGCTAATAGCGAGTTGTTTTTGATATAATGAAATGGCGTTTTTATAAATACAGGAGCGTTAGGCAGTCTTTCAGTGTGTTCAAATTGTGGTCATGACAACTTAAAACTGCTTTAATGTTTTGTTTATGCACCGCATTATTCAACCACGCATAAAGTGAAAATAGATTTTACACAACAGCTCAATGTTATGTTTAAAACTAATTTCAATTTTCAGTCTGTTACCTGACGGTCACAAGGGAACACACTACTAGAGTACCAAAAATATGCCGACAAAAATTCAACGAGCACTGCGGAGAACCTGACAGATACAGTGAAATAACTAAGTGTCCTTGTCATGGACCCTGATCTAAAATTTTATAAACACTTTGAAGGTCCCGGAAACTTTAATATTCAGGTTATATAAAATTTATATCCAAAATCTCTTTGTTTGCGTCTCGATTTCCATGGTTTGACACCACGAATTTTCGAATGATGAAATTGTACAGTACTGCGTTAAAACGTTTTTTTTTTTATATATATATATATGCTGCAGTCATATTTCAGTTCTGCTACATACCTGCGATTACCTAATGACCTTTAAAAATTCAGAAGCTAGACAAACGCTTTGCCTAGAATGGGGCGAAATCGTGCACAGCGTTGTCATGAAAAGAAAAAAAAACGCTTTGGAAAAGGCACGTGTTCTGACAGGGGATTGACTTCTTTTGGTTTATGTTGGTACCATAGATACCTTTAAGAAAAAAAGCCGGTACATTTTTGTACCGGTCTACAGAAGTCCATGCAGGCCACTAGAATTCATGCATCGTCCACTAACGTGGTTATACCGGTTTCCGGTGAATGAATACGGGTGGCCCGGTATCGAATACCCGCCGCCGACGTGGGTTTGATGGTTACCGGTGAAGAGATACACTCAACACCGGTACGATGTTATAGGAGAAAGATCACATCGCCAGGCGACCGGATTCTCGTCATGGTACAGGCATTTCCGTACATGACCGCAAGTTATACCTTCACGGATGAAAAAGAAGAGACAAAATAACTGCGAAATGAAATAATAGATAAATCGGCAATTAAATGCGTGCCAGAAACAGAAGAAAGAACAAGCGTCGAAAAAGCAGCCGCGAGCGTCGAAGGCGGCAGGAGCGAGCAATGGTGCGTCGGGATGCAAGTTGGCTAGCGAGAGACTGAAAGAGTCGGCAAGACCACGCTCGGCTTCTTATCCACTCCATTCGGAATCTAGAATATTCAACCTAGCAAGTTCGGGAGTGAGCAAGGGCGAGACTGACTAGTCAAAGTCGCTGTTGCCTCTATATCTTTTGCGCTCGGGGTACGAATAAGCTCGAATCTTCTAGATGTACGGAGAAGCATTCCTTCTCGGTGATAGACGCGGCATTGCGCCCCCCTTTAACAGTGTATCGCCCCGATGCAACCTTGAACAATATATTGAAATGCTAAACCGAATGGCAACCAACATTAAACTGTGGGTTCGTCTGAACCATAAATATTCATCCTTGCTATCGAGCTTAGTAAGGCTTGAAACGCCAGACGTGCACCACCTCGGATCTTGGCTGGTGGCAACCTGACGACCGTGTACTGACTGGAAGCTCCTCAATGTTCAGGCCTTTGAGGCGGCGGTCCGAAGTGTCGCTTCAACAACTTCTCGATGACACCGTGGTGGCCGTGGTGTCGTATCGGTGCACTACTGCAGTACACCAGCGCGCGGTAAGAAGCGTTCTCTACAAAGAAAAAAAAATTAATAATAATAACATTTTGTTTTCTATTTACAGCAGTGGAGTCCGAGAAAAAAAGCCGCACGAAACGGCTTGACCAGCTCTCGGCCCCCGATTTACATTTTACAGCAGTGACAGGGCAAAGAAAAACTAAAAAAACACGCACGCTAAAAGCATCAGTGGGCTATAACAAAATTGCACATCAAGTCACGTACCTTTTTTATGCTGATGGCATCTAAGTGAATATCACTGAGAATGAAAGAAGTGAAGCAGTTTTGGTAGTCTCCGGCTCTTAGGCGGAATCAGCCTGGCCACTAATGTTTAATACAATGGATACTAAACATTTTCACACCCTTATTGGTGTAAATGGCATGGGTCACATCTACCTCTTTTGTACAAAAATGCCATTGGAAAGGTGTTATTTCTACACCCTCTAAAACAGGTATAATTCATTACACCCTTCACAGAAAGGTGTGATACTCCTCTACAACATTTTATTACGGTCTGATGGCAGCTTTATACCCTTCCAAAAGAATGTACTGCAGCTAGGAGAGCATGGTTAAAATACCCCGAGACTAGTGACAAAAAATTGGAAAAACACAACATTATCTCAAAAAGTTTTGAGAGAGTATTATCAGGACAACATAACACCGTCTCAAAATGTTTTGAGACGTGTTCTGTTGCCCCGATTTTTTGTGTCTAGTCTCGGGAATTTTCACCGTGATCCTTCACCAGCTCGTCTGCGCAGTAACTCTCAATTCATTCAGCTAGAAGTAATACAATATATGTACCACAGCACGTGATAAAAAAGTATTTACGGAGAAATCACTGCTAACAAATTGAAACATGTGGACACTTGTATTTTTTCAATCCAGAAAAACGTGCGTGGATCTTATCATCTTCTGTGGCGAATTGGCGACAAACCAATGTCAAACCTCAAATGCGAGCATTTGTGACCTACTGTTAAGTTTTCGTGAAAAAGCTACGAAATTCTTAGAGGCTTAAAATAAATGCGCTCAAAATTTTAGTAAGGCTTTCCTTCGCCTTAACCTAATTTAATGCTTTCTAGCTCTGGTGACGTATGACAAACTCGACAGGCTGGCAAAGACGGAACGACCGGGAGAGGCTTTGTGCGTAATCGGCAGTTTATGTTTGTAAACAGTAAAATGCTCTATAGAGACGTAAGCAGGACTACTAACAGAAGCATGCTTGTAGAGTACTGACAAATCAAACTCCGATCTCATGTAATCCGTGATAGATGCACAATCCCCAATTCGGGCACCACAGAACAATTCACAAACACAACGTCGAGGATAAAGGCGGTCGCTCACATTCAACAGAACTGTCGCGGTCGCCGATGAGGAGCTCTTTGTCGTGATAATAATAATAATAATAATAATATTATTATTATTATTATTCTTTATTGGACACTTGTATATATGCACAATCCCCAATTCGGGCACCACAAAACAACGCAAACAACGTCGAGGATGAAGGCGGTCGATCACATTCAGCGTAAGTCTCGCGACCGCCGATGAGCAGCTCTTTGTCGAAACGCGTCCAACAAACACAGCACAATATTTCCATGAACTCCGACGAAATAAATGACCATTACCAAAGAGTTAGTATGAACGTATTCCGGCCGTTCAAGACGAAAAATCACGGCTGCAACTGCAACACACGAAAACTGGAGAACACTGGCGCCTGACGAGCGCTTTTTGGAAACCGGACCTACCTGGCCCCTACAACTCACCCTATATTGGAATACGGCAAAGAAATTTGGGGTCTGCGTATGTTTATACAGCCTAGAACTTGGCCTGCCTCAACGGGCGACGAATCTCCCAGCTAGCCAATGCAGTACAGCCGCTAGCCTGGGGTCTTTAACGTGCACCACGCAGTAGTGATACACGACCGCACGCCGGTACGATGCTCTCCCAGAACTAAACGAGCAGTGGTGGGGATTGATCCCAGGATTCTGGGTTCTGCAGCCCGAGCTTTCACTCGACGTGCTCCGAGCTGGTGTGCGCTAGACCACTCGGCCGCCGATCCCCCCAATACGGCAAATGCAGCAAGTGGCGCGGTTTGTCTCAGGTCTGGTCGTGCTAGTTTGGCCCTGAAGTGGTCCCCCTCGTAAGGTCGACCGGTTACATCGACCTTTCAAGGTCGACGTAACTTTATGACAGAGGTAGAAGAGGTACGCGCTGATCACTAGTTGATGCACAAACAAACAAGCCGCGGACATACTCTGCCGTTATCACTGCTTCTAGAAAGCGCCCGAAGCAGAATGCTTTAACATATAGTTACGCCATAGAGTTCTAAGTGCACATAAGTTTTGTGTAGTAACCGGGTCCCACTACACGCGCTCCATGAAAAAGTAATGAGAGATATCCCATAGGAAATCGCCATCGCGACAGGGACAATGTCAAGAGCTCTGGGAGACGCGCTTTTACACGCTCCGGAGCCAAACCACGTAAAAAGAAGTGCTTGGAAAACAAATTTCAGATGTCCATTTCTTACGAAGGCTTTTGTTCGCGCGCTCCGCCATGCATGAACGCGACAGCCGTTCGCCGTGACGTGTCGCAGCTATCGCAGTAGATGTGCTGTGAATTAACATAGACTAAGCGTGATCCTAGTTCTCAACCGGGCACGTAACCAGGGGGGGGGGGAGCCTTGGGGCCAGCCCCCCCCCCCTCCCCGCAATCTGGCATTGTGCTGGGGCCTCCTCTCCCCCTTCCCCTCATACAATAATAAACTTCGGCCTGTAGCTCGTCGACTTCGCCTCTGACTACATAAAAAAACACGTAAGATAAAACGCAATTCCTTTTCCTAAATGTATTTGAACCGTATTGTTTAACGGGCTCAATGTATAACTTTGCTTTCACGGTACACGAAGAGCCAGGGTATTTTATGCGCCCCTCAAGCGAAAAAGGTTGCTGCACCCGAAAAACCATGTGTGAGTGTAATATGTTTTCCTGCTTGAACAATAAGTATTGTTTCGTAGCGCTGAATCGCAGGTTATTTTTCACTAACAAAAAGAAGAAAAGGCGATCTTACATTAGAAACGTATATCAGCGAGTAGCTATAAAAACGTAACGCTATCCCAAGACATATACCGTTCCTGCGTGTATATGCATGTGTAGGCCTCTAGTGGGAATGATTGCCTTCTTCTTGGGAATTTTGTTCTTATGTCAAAGCCATGGTACTTTTTCTCAAAATAGCACAGGGGATTATCCTGATGCCAACGAGGTAAGAAAATACCATTCATGTAACCCTTTCATAACAAGGCGATGCATAAGGTTTTTTTAGTAGCTCAATACCCTTACATGAAGGTGCAGATAGGCACATATGGCGTTCGTATTGTTAGGATGATGTTGTCGGCAGGAGCGAGGACAGAACACCACAAGATGATCGAACACACAAAGGAATAATGAAGGCCGGGCCATCACCTCGGGCCTGGCTCAAGATGGTTGTGCGCGCCACTGCCTTATCGTCGTCTTACCCTTCATAACAGTATGTTCAACCTGCAGGGGAACTCTCCTCGCGTCACAGATTGCCGCTAAGTTTATAACAGAATTCTCACTCCGACCATGAGTTTTAATCCATAATGTTCATGGGCAAGATTTCATATAAAAGTGTCACGCCCGAGTGTCACGACAAATTGTTACACACAGGTCAAGTCAACATAAATCATGCAGAGCCCATAGTATAGGATTCGTGACATTCCAAGAAAAATATTTTAGTCGTGATAAATCATACGAGCTCACAATCAGACCAAATTACAAAAAAAAAAAAAAAAGAAAGAGATCTACTAATTTGCTTGGAGGCATTGAAACCCTCGACCATGCGAACCGCAGGCCAAAAGTCGTTGTACGGCGCCGCGGGAAGTCCTTTTTGTTCTCGTAATGGTCGGAAGGTGAACTAATATTACTCACTTTTCTGTGCTTTCAGACTTGCGATGGAATAAACCACCGTGTCTTTTTGGTAGAAATATTAAAAACCTCGCGTTTGGAAGAGGGCTTCAAAACTCTTGTCCGTTCGTGTGCATGTTAAACGGCTTGGTACACGCTTTACACTGGAAGTACAAATATTCGGAAAATGACATGCAGTTACTTCACATCAATATCAGCATGGCGGACAGAAATTTGTGTTTTAGTCTGCTAAACAATCCTAGCATCGTTCGCATGGGATTGGGAACACCAGCGTAAGTATCAACGAACCGGATCGTACGTGGACAACAAAAATAATACTATTTTTATTATTCGCTTGAGAATGTTGGAAATAAAATATATTGCAACAACCAAAAATTAAATAGGTGTTCGTGTGGCCCAACCGGTCAGCGCAGGCCAGTTTGAATATGAACACCGTTGAGACTGGTCGCCCAGTCTCCTTCTTCCTCACAATATTTGGTTAAGGTCTTGCATAGTGCCCGCGTCCCTGAAGAGAAGTTTATTGCATTCTGGAGTATTGAAATAGACGAATGTCGGCTGCGAACAACTCAAATAGAGTATCTTCCATGGGTCTTCAGCCGCTGCAGCGTGCCATGCTCCCAGCCAGGTCCGACATTCTAAGATTCTTCTGGGATCCTTGAAGGTGACGTGGAAGATTGACTGGACGTCTACCAGCGAGCATGCCTTTACAACAAACGGGATGATGAGGCTAAGCTACGCAGTGCCATATTTTGCCTTTCCAATGTGACTAACATATGCTTTACCAGCCACGAAGTTGAGGCCAGTTTATGGTTTCTGTTCCAAAACTCAGCAAGCACAAACAGACGACGAATTTGGGGAAAATAACAATCGAAACGAATATAGAGTGTGTTCAATTTTTGCCAGCATTATGACACTTGTAGATTACTAATATACCAGTCCTATCACTATATAAAAATGACCCCATCGTGCAACTCTGTAAGTTATTGAAAAAAATGAAAGTCTTGAAACTCTCTGTAATGCCAAATTAAAGTGATATCCTGAAGAGGAGGAGGGGAGGGTACGGAAATGTGGGTGAGCCCCTCCTCCTCCACCGTGCCCTCTCCTTCTCCCCTGCTCTCCTCCTCCTCCCTCTTTCTCTCCTTCTCGTCCTCACCCTCCCTCTCTCTCTCTCCCTTCCATCCTCCTCTTCCCTTTTCCTTTCACGCTTCCTCTACACCTCCCCCTCAATGACTGCCCCCTCTTTACCCTCGTGACGTCACTCGTGAAGGCCTCGTAAAGTGAAGGTCACGTGAAGGTCGTGGCCTTTGCCGTGACCTTGACGACAGACCGTGACGTCACATGTGACGTCGTCATGTGACGTTTCCCATATGCAACGCGCGGGACCCTTGTGAAGTCATTATGCGGAAACGTCGCATAATGCAACACGCGGGTCACGAGTGAGACACGCGCGTTGCATCATGGAGTATTTCCCGTAATGCACGGTGCGGTAACTCCGACGGCGACGCCGCTCAAGCCGGAAACGGTCGCCTAAAAGCTGCGCTGTGGCATGTAAAAAAAAAAAAAAAGAAACTCTGCAGTGCATGTCACTTTTTTAGGTTTTCTTTTTGCACCTCCTTCTATGATACTGAAAATTATTTCAGACTTCTGTGCGTTCAGGTGCTTACATTGATGTTATTGGACATACCATTTAAATACTTAAATACATTTGCAGGTTATAAAGAAGCTACCTCAAACATTCATGCTTCAATCACTTCAAAATAAAAGGAATTTAATATGCGGTTATCAACATTTCCGCAATAAGATCAAGGGAGGTCAGACTTACAGAAAATTTAATTTAATATTTGATTACACGAAATTTACGTGAGTACTAAATGTAATAAATAACATTACAAACTGTAGCGTTCGTGTGTCACATCCAAATTGGAGTTTTAACGTGTTCACTTTGCAGAATTAGTCAAGATCTCTATGTAAAAAACCTGACTGGCTACAAAATTTTCATGGGCAATGAACCAGGTGAGCAGAAGGATATTTTTTTTAAATTCTTAATACGTTCAATGAAGGAATCCTTCGAAGTCTTTTGCTAACAATAATGATACTGATTTATGAGCCTACTTTGTTTTGATTATTCGCTAAGTCTGTAGGCAATTGCGTATGCATTTATAGTTATGTAATCGCCAAATTACAAAAAAATCCTTAATATTTTTAGAACAGTTTTACAATTCGTAATTTTATATAGTTATAATTAAGTGGCTATGATGGTTGTGACTCAGTTTTTTGTCGTACTTGCGAAGCTTTTGATACGTTTTTTTAAACACTGGGTTGATATGCTGTAGGAAGAAGTGGGCGGCGTTAAGGCCATGTGTGATCTGAATCTATGCCAGTACGCTACGTGCCACCTTTCCTCTTACCTCGCTGAGTATCTGTGCCGCCAATATCATTTTAAGTCCGTATGGAGTCTGAGGTTCCGTACTAACCACGAAAGTTTGCTTTTTGCTTGAAGACAGAAATTACGAGAAAGCCGATAATCTCTACATTTTGCAGCAATCTCTGCGGCAATGTTACCACAGATTGCTCCCTACCCAATTTGTTTGCAGTAACCTTGCTTTTATAAAATATGCTACCTTGCTCAAGTGTTTGTGTCTGACAATATTTCTTATACTTTTCAACAGGATCAAGTATTCCTGCGAATTCCGAACGCGAAATATTGTTTTCGAACATGCGATCTTGTATGGTAATAAGAAACCCGGACCCATCGTATTCTGAAGGTTGGTTCGAGAAAATATCTTCTGCACAAGTGGTGTCTTGACGCTTCGAAACATTTACATCAACAAAGTGTTTGGAGTTAACTGTGGATTATATCAGGCAACTGAATAGCGCGCATGTGAATATTACCTGTTCTCAATGTATAAAATACCTTTCAAAAATAGAACATTCCTTTTAGCTTTACGATTTAGCAGTAATATTCGCTAAACATGTGTAACAGCATTTGGCTGTGGAGTAGCGTCCAGCCCTAAAATCTCGCACTTACGAAGATACCGAGATGCAGTCACAACTTTTATTATGCCTGCGAAATCCTGTAAGTTGACGCAAGAACTAGTTTCTTCTGACATACCTTGACCTGGGAAAAAGTAACACATTTTCTTTGAGAAGTAGTACTAAAAGACTACTTGAAGACGGATTTGAATGGATTAGATATTCCACTTACATTCCTCGTGCAGTTCCACTCAGGAAAACAACTGGTGCACTCTTCTACACGCTTTACAGACTCAGAACTAGGCAACTTCTACGAAACCGCCCGCTAAATTGATTTCACACACAAAACCTTCCCTGCAGTCAATAGCACGATATTTAGGCTTTGCTCACTGCCTACGTGATCACCGGAGAAAAGCATCAGTCTAAATTGACGAAAATCATTCTTAGCCTCTGCGGTAATTTGGTGGAGTTTATTTCCCTGAAGTTATTGCGACTTGTAGGGTTACATATTAGGGTGGAGACTGAGGGGGGGGGGGGGGGGGTCGGGGTTGGTTTTACGTAATGACGATTATAAACAACGCCCACCCTACTACCGAATTCGATGTTTCACGTCTCCTCTTCCAATTTCGCACACCATGAGAGATTGGTTCGCCGCGATTTGTTTTTCCTGGAAAGTGGCAGGCGCATTTAAAGCTCACCAGGTAGTCTGTGTTCAGTGCGCAGGGCTGTCAACGCCCTCCCTTTGAAGCGCAAAACAGTTGAGCGCGCTTACGCAATTTGGGAATTACCAATTAATCCACTTATCAACAGTTTACCTTAAAGTCAATGTTGATTACGTCTTACTTAGTGACCATCCTCTACAATAATGGTTTACTTGTATAGCATTGTTTTTCTTATAATTTATCTATCTGCCAAGTTATATTTCCGTTAAAAATATGTGGTGTAATTTAATTGCAAGACAATTGCTACAACGTTCTTTAATTACTCGCTACTTCTTATAAATATTAAAAAAATTCCTGCGTCAAGGCATCTAGACCTCATTTCATCATTCGTACAAGCGCAATCGAATGCATAAACACATAGAGCCACGAACACAAACACCAGAAGCACTGTTATATACATGGTTAGGCGATGATATAACGCACACATAAATGTTAAGAACATCATAACGTTGCAATTTTCACGTTTTTGATTGATCTCATTAGCTCGTAGCGTAGACTGCGCCCAAACTTGAAATGAAACGAATTATAGCTACGTAAATATTCTTGACAACACTAGAATCCTTGATTGAAACCATAGAACAGTGCTCATCAAACTTATCCAAGATTTTGTGTTATGTCTTTCTTAACTTTTGAGAGCTGTATTCTAGCGGAATCTGAAGAACTTCTGCTAGATATTGCGCTCAATGGGGGGAGCCGTCCAAGCAGGTGTGCCCGCTCGCTCAAGACCGAAATCCCAGCTCGACAGCAGAAAAAAAAAACAAGTTTGCCTACGATGCGATTATACGTCATACCGTTGAAACATCATATACTTATGAAAACATCCACACATTGACTTTATAACTTCACATATGCACCTTCACGCCGAAGATGGCAGTTAGTATTGATTGGCCGGCCGGTAAAAATATTGTCGTGCCCACGATCCAGCAAGTGGCCTCCCCTGTTTGGGCTGTTCTGTGACCGCTAAATGGAGCTGTTCTAGAGCTGCCGACATGAAAGATCCTCCTTAAAATCAGACACCATTTTCGAGTTCCGCTTAAGTTTGGTGACCACTGTTCATTCAGACTTCTTCAGGCTGACACTTTCCCCTAGGAAGTGCACAAACACTAAAAAGCCGCTTGTCACAAAGTACTGCGTGCCAAATAATAATACCCTCGTTCAAGTCTGTGCTGCTAACATATTTGACATAGAAGAGACTGGATAATCGCACGTATGAAAGGCATACACTACACAATTTTTTGTTGTTTAATTATCTCTTTTAATTGGTTTGTATATAATCAAACATCTTTACAATTGAATCAAAGTGTAACGCTAAAAAAATTTCAAGACGTTTTGTTTATGCCAAACGAAACATAATAAAGCAGCAAAACGAATGCAACTGCTTCACACTAGGGGACAAATTACATTATGTCTAGACTATAACCATAGAGCAGGGCTGAGTAGTGTCTGCTATCCAAACATATTGAGATTGGGTACTAAAGATACTTTCTTGTGTCTATAATTCTATATCAAAATACCCATAACGCAAGTTTTATTCGTTGTTTGGAACGTTATAACCCAATAACGAATTTTTTTTTAATTTCTGAAATGGCGTTTTTTTATAAATACCGGAGCTTTCTGCAGTCATTCTGTGTGATCAAGTTGTGGCTATGGCAACTAAAAATTGGTGCATCTTTTGTTTGGTTAGTACATTATTATTGAACCACGAACGAAGTGAAAATAGACTTTACACAACAGTTCAATGTTAATTTAAAACTGATTTCATTTTTCAGCCTGTTACCTGATGGTCACAAAGAAACACTTTTCTAGACCACAAAAAAGATGCAGACGAAAATTCCAAGAACACTGCAAAGGTCCTGCGTTCAACTATACTATAACTGGCTGTCCTTACCCAAAGACCCACATCTGAAATTATATAAAGACTTTGAAGGTCAAGGAAACTTTAATATTCAAGTTCTATAAAATTTCTGTTTTAAAGCTCTCTGTTTTCCTCTCGATTTCTATCTTTGAACGCCACATATTGTCGAAGTGTTGAAATTGTACGGTACTGCGTAAGAACTTTTTTTATTTATGCTGCAGCTCTATTCCAGTTGTGCTGCACATCTGCGATCACTTAACGACCTTTAAAAGTTCAGAAGCTAGACCTACACAAATCGAGCAAAGCGTCGCCAAAAAAAGAAAAAAAAAAGGACTGGGAAAAGGCACATGTCATGATTGAGGTTTCACTGCTTTTGGTTTATGTTGATTTCATAAATAACTTTAATGAGGGGACACCTGTATATTTTAATACCACTCTACAGATGTCCATAAAGGCCAACATAATTCACGCATCGTGCCCTAACGTGGCTATACGAGTTTCCGGTACACCGAAACGGGTCACCCCCTATTGGAAAAACCGCCATGAAAATCTAACTGGTCCAGCTGGTAACTAACCTGGTCAAACTGGTCAATATGGTAGTCAAACTGGTTTAACTGGCGATCAACCTGGTTTAAGCTGGGCGAGCTAGAATTTGAGCTGGTCAGTCTGGATTAAGTAAAAATCAGCATGGTCTAACAGAATCGGGTTTTAGATTCAATTTGCTGTAGCTGGGCACCAGTCTGGTCCTAACTGGTCAAACTGGTCAAATTGGTTTTCCATGGAGCAAACGTGGTAAGCTGGGAGACAAGCTGTTGAAGCTGGTCAAACTCGAAATCGGGGTGGTCAAGCTGGTCTTTCTGGGAGCATGCCCACCAAGGTCGGCTAGAGATGGTCGAACTGACATTGCTGGAATCACGCGCGCAGAGGTCGGCTTGGGCGTGGACAAGGCCATGTCCTTTTCTTTGTCCTCTCGTTTTAGTAGACCACTGGGCGCCTCAGGCACGTTGCGAGCTGGCTTTGTGTGCGAGAAGGGAGAGAGAGAGAGTGATTGGAAAGGAGAATTTGAGACACATTTGCCAAGCTTGGGCAGATTTTCGAAGGAACGGCTGTGCGCACGTTGTTTGGAGAATTCTTGAACGACGGTGCAAGCGAAGCGGGTTTTGAGGAGACAGCGAGCGGCAGTCCGTTCAGCGCGAGAAGAGGTCGGATGTCCCGACTGAGGCGACGCTTCGTGTCTTCGGAAGTGTGTGTACTGGTGAATGACAGTGGTGCCGAGGAGTATCGAGAATGGCATCCAAGCAACACGGATTTCCTCGCCTCTGCGGACCACGCAAGAGGACGTTTCGTCCCCATCACTGGCGGGACCCAGGTTCGTTTCTCTCATCCGTGTAGTATCTTTATTACTATTGCCTGTTTTTGGCGTGTGTCTAGTATTTTTTGTGCTTAGAGATATGCAATATGGTTTTAATAACAATGTTTGTTTTCCACCGAGAACCACTGTCTGTGCATGAGCTAGTACTGTGTCAGCGCCGAGGATAGGTAACATCTGAGCTCATGTGAGCAGGGTACAAGTATGAATGTAATAACCTGGATGCCGAGTTGGCATTTCTGAAGAGCTTGGCTTGAATACCCTGTGTAATATTTAAAACAGGTTAAACTGGTTGGGAAGTCAACCAGCATTACCAGCTTGACCAGCATTACCAGCATGCAAACTACGCATGCTGGGGCAATGAACCAGCTTGAAGCTGAAACCTGTTTAAGCTGTTTATTTCAATAGTGCCGGCATTGAGTACGGGCCACCGACGTGGTGGTCACCGGTGAAGGGCAACAGTCAACACCGATACGATTCTATGGGAGACAGATCAAACTGCCAGGCCACAGCTGTTTTGGTAATGGTGCATATATGTTCACACAGGCCTATAAGTTATATTTTCAGCGATGAAAAGGAGAGACAGTATAACAACACACTGAAAAAAAGGTTCAATCGGCAAAGCCATGCCAGAAACAGAACAAAGAACAAGCGCCGAGTAAGCAGCAGCAAGCGTCGAAGGCGACAGGAGTGAGCGATAATGTGCCGGCATGACAGCTGGCTAGAGCGAGAGTGAATGAGTCGGCCAGACCGCGCTCGGCTCCTCACGTACCGCACTCGGTCTCTGGTACTTTCGACCTAGCAAGTTCGGGAGTAAGCAAGGGCGAGATGACAATTCAACGTCATCCTTTCATCTATATTTTTTTACACTCGGTCTACGAATAACACGATTCTTCCAGATGTATGGAGAACCGTTGCTTCTCGATCAGGGACGCTGCTTTACTTCCATCTTTTACCTGTGTATTGCCCCGATGCATCCTTGAATAAACTAATAAAATATTAAACTGAATTACAGCAAGCATTAAACTACGGGTTCGCCTGAACCATATATATTCGTCCGTTTTGTCGAGTCTACAGTGCACAGATGTGGTGTGAAATTACAAGCATTTTTACAGACATTTTTTGCTGTCATACAGAAAATATCTGCTAATGATCTTTAAACAAAATCTGTGTAAAAAACATAAATTTTCTGTTTTTATCTTTTTGAATAATTAGGCATTTCTCAACTTTACGAAAAGCGGTTCTGAAAAGTTATTTAACGCATTAATATTTTGTTTATGTATTTAATGAACGAAACCATATTAACGTGGAACATTAGTGCAAAGATTAACGTGCGCGGTGTCTTCTTCGGTCTTCATTTGGTGCGGAGCTTGTTTTTCAAGAAGGATGCCGGGTAGCGGCTGCCTGTCGACGTTGGTTTTCCCGTTTGGATTATTTCTCACGTAAGCTTCACCCGTCGTTGTTGTGATCTCCCGGATATACGTGCGTAGCCCGTTAGCTTTCCGCTTCAGTAGCGTGTTCTAGTTCAGTGACAGTGTAGTAATTGCCTTTTACTAGATTGTTGCGTCGTCAAGGACACTATTTTCGCTGCTATAAGCGCCAGTCGGAGCCCTAACTCTCGCCTCTTTCACCGTTTGTGTTTTTCAGTTTTGATGCTCTGCTCTATGATTCGTTATAACTAAACCTAAAAGTCAATCACCTCTGCCTCTTCTTTCCCCATAGCACACCATAGCCCGGCCGCTCTACCGGTCATTCCTAGATGTCTCCTGACGCCAAGTATAGAGCCTGATCGTCGAACCACCAACATCGTCGCCTCTCCATCAGAAAATAACAACATTTTTGTTCGTCATCTAAAAACCTTTTATTGTCAACAGAAAACTGAAAGATTCCCTGGCACTAGGCTCATGCTGTGCCTGCAACCAAGTGTTACCAAAGACAGAAACCTCGCGTTCGATGCTGAGCATATACTCAGTTCTGGACATTAACCCAACTGTAGATTCGTGTTTTTTTTTTTTTAATTCGAGTCTTTTTTTTAAGAGGATTTATTTAAACGTTAAATAAAAATTTTATTGTCACTTTTCAAAACAGTACATATTCCGGTCCGCAAAAGCATGGGTATATTTGTCTGCGAGATCTGGCGTCCAACAAGTTGCTTTCATAGTTATAACAAAGCATGCATTATTTTCATGGAAATAAATAAAATCCAACAATGAGAATTATACCTGAGAGGAGAAGGAAGATAAAAACGTGGTCATTTTCAGTCACCTATCGACTGACAGCACCATTTTTTCAGGTCTTGTTTCAGTCTTCTTATATAATCTGGGTTAGGAAGTTCATCTGGTAACTTCTTTAAATAAAAAATAACGTAGTACGACATTGGCTTCCTTTTGTATTTAGAATAAAACCTAGGAAGAATAAATTTTTCTGTTCGCCTCAAAATCCGTTCTTTGTTAAAGGAATTTAAAAATCACCATTGAAGTAATGCCTTACCACAATACATAACATTGTAGCCTCTCAGCAGTTCACACTCTCGCGGCATTTATTTATTCTCTTTCTTTGCTTCTCCGTACATTGTCCCATATGCCACGTTAGATGCAATTTTATAGAGTATAATATTGACTTTCTTTCGTTGGAACACATTCCGTATAACGAGATCTCATAACGTAGGATAGTGTCACCCAGTGCGTTATACACCCTCTTTCTCAGAGAAACGTTCGCCACACTATGCAACATGTTCAAATAGGATGAGACGGCTCTTATTTGTTTATGATTTATTTCACATGATTATTCCATAAAAGATTTCCATCCAGATGAATCCCTAAATATTTGGTTCTTTGAACATAAAGTAACGGTACGCAGCTACAGGTTTTGCAAGAATCTGAATGAAGGAACAGTGGAGTTGACAAGTTAAAATATTTGTACGGACTATAGAAGCACATCGAATTACTTTTACTATAATTTACCAAAAATAGGATTGTCAAAAAACCGTGTGAATAATAATTCGATATATTTCTGGAAAATCGAAAGTGCGCGTGTTTAAACGCTATATTCAAGTACCATATCGGAATCATCTGCATATTTATATACTCTACATGCAAAACGCAGAGATCCAATTTTATTTATGCCAATATTAAACAGTAAATTTCCTATTGATGATCCCTGCGGTACTCCCGATTTAATCCGTATTACGCTACTTAATCGTCTCTTATTTTAACCAGCTGATTTCTGTGTGTAATGTAATCCTATAGAAATGTATTTAAAGGCTTCATGGAACCCATACTTTATTGCTTTATCAGAATATTTTCATGATTCATTGTTCCAAACGCTTTTGTTATATCGAAAAAAGAGCTAACGCAAAATAAGTATTACCTAAAATGCAGCTGACATAATTTGTAAAAACTTGCCGCAAAATTTCAGTGCTCTCTCTCATTTTTACGAAATCCGTACTCGGCTGAGTGCATTCAATTATGCGTTTCACAATATGAAGTCATTACATTGAATACCCATCTTTCTATAGTCTGTGCTGTAACTGGCCACATCCTTTCCATACTATCACCATGTGTATATAACGCTCCGACAAGGGCGGTTTTTAACATTACGAGGACTTGACCCGTTATAAAAGAGTTGTTTATTATTTAATTAAACATATTTTAGTTCAAACGAAAATATGTTGAATATCCCT